TGGATGATACCAGTGAGGAGAGAAATGGGCAACAACCAGCAAGTAAAACCAGAGCTCCCCGATTTATTAGCAGTTGGTTCAACAGGACCTTACACCAGCGCCCGGGAGCCTCTCCCAATGCAACCCCACGGAGGGGCAGTGGGAAGGGGCTGCCCGCCACGGCCCCACACACGGCTGCAGGGAATGGCCCCGCTCCGGAGGCGAGGGCAGCATCCCGGGTACCGCATCCACCTCCGGTGGCAACAGCTGCCACCCTGCATCCTAAGGAGCAGCTCCATCCGAGGGGAAATTTGGGCCCTTATCCCAATAAACCCCTGATGGCTCAGCCTCGTTTGCCAGCCCTGGCAGCAAGAGCCAGGGGACAGGACGGGGTGCGGGACAGGCAGAGCCGGGGCTGTAGCTCTGTACGGCACCACCAGTATAAAGACACGTCTCCAGCTGGGAAGCCGTCCCCCATTTCCCCACTGACCTTCATCCACGTCACGTGTAACAACCAAAGAGACCACGTAAAACCCTCGGGGTCTAGGTACAAATTCTGGCACCGAAGCAAAACAACACCCTGCAAAACAGGAACCAAACGACCCCCCCACCCCCTCCCACCCCAACGTTATTAAAATACTTTTGCTTTTAATATTCAAGAGGTTTCAAGTTCTCAGCATCCTTCTGACTGCCGTTATCCCAACGTCCGCCCTGTCCCCAAGGGCCGGCTCTCCTCTGTGCCGGGGGACGTCGGGCGCCGCTCGGCTTTACCACAGGAAACACCACGTGTGTACAAGGGGGGGGTTGGGGGGGACAGGAGCGTGCTGGGGTCAGCACGCCGGGGCCAGCACACCAGGGCCAGCACACCAGCCCCTTCTCCTGCTCGGACGCAGTCCCACTGCGCTGCCCACGGAAGGGGAGGAAGAAGTTGAGGAGCTTGAAAATGAACGGAGATGACAAAAGAAATCATGCCCAGGTCTTTGAAAGGAAAATCTGCCTTGTTTGCAGCTTTTCCAGGTAGGTGTCATGGGAATCTGGCAAACTCTCCCACCTCCTGCCACGGGACCAATGGCAGGAGCGGGTCTGGGTCCCTCTGTGCTTTGGGTCTCCACCAGCTCCGTTCCTGGGCTCCAGCTGAACACAGTCACTGCCAGCATGCCCAGAGCAGCTCCTCCACCCTCGGACCAGGAGGTGAGGGACGGCTCTGACGCTGCACTCAGGCCCAGGGGAGTCAGGGCTTGTTTTGGGCAGAGAAAGGGGGAATTTGTGCCACTTCCCCACATTGGAGCAGGGCAGGAAGGGACTTCACCGACAGGCCCAGGAAAGGAAAAAAATGAAATCAAAGAGAAATGGGTGTGGGGTAGGCAGAGAGGTGGCAGTGCGGGGACCGCAGAGTCAGGCCACCGCTCGGGCAGCCTCTGGCACAGCTGTCTGCTCCTGGGGTCCCCTCCAAGGTGGCGGCTGGGTATTGCTGAGGAAGGTCCCACCGGGTGCAGGGGTCGGCCCCGCTCGGGTATTGCTGGGCAGGCAGCGGGCAGCAGCTACCTGGTGCTCTGCAGCTCCTCCCGCAGCCAGGTGGGCAGCGTCTGCCCCATTTTGTACAGGAGCTTGGAGAGCTCTATGTTGTGGTCCCTGTAATAGTCCCGCAGGAAGGCGCGCGACTGCAACGGGAGAACAGAGAGGAGGGTCAGATGGACAAGCCCCAAGCCCACCACCCTGACACAGCTCCCCGGCGCCGCTCAGGACCATCCCAGGAATCTTTCTGCATACTCACATCCGAGTCCATCTCGGGGTACTTCCTCCCCTTGCTCTTTCCCAAGCATTTTGTTTTCCCTCCATCCAGAAGCTGACACCAGAATCCTTTCTTTGCATCAAACCTGCAAAGTGAGAGCTCTGCCTCACCCCTCTCACCCCCCCACACACATTCTGCAGGCAAGCATGCTGCCTGACAAGCCCTGCTGCTGCCCAGCCCTGCATGGGGGCACGTCTCTTTTTAATGTGCAGCCCAGCTAACATCTCGTTATCGATCCCCTTGTACAACAGGTTCCCTGTACAGCCGCACAGTAAGTGGCCTGACAAGGATCATTCATCACCACGTCACCCCGCTGAGGGAGCACGGGGGTCTGCGTGGGTTTAATATTATTTTCTGCGGCACCTTTGACCCTGGATGCCCTCAAGAGCCCCACGACACCTGGCTGCAGATTCAGAGCAGCCATGTACATAGGCAAGAGCAGCACAGAGGTAAATTATCATTCTTCTGGAAGCTCGAGTCTCCTGCTTCCTATGTTGGGTTTTAATGTCTGGAAGGCTCAGAGGCAGGTGACACCCACGGTGGTACCACAGGGCAAGCAGCAAGAGCCGCTCTCTGCAGTGAGTGCACAAGGAGCCAGGGTGCTGGAGCTCAACAAATGGCTTGAATGCACCCCTGAACTCTGCTCCAGGAGCCCAGGGCTGCTCCTGGGCTGCCCGGGGCCACACCACCGTCCCCACCACGGTGCCTGGATAAGCACAGCAAAGTGGGGTGCTTACTGAATGTTATTTCTGATTGCAGCTACCCCAGTGTAGGTCACAGCAATGAGGAGCTGCTGTTCTGGCCTCAGGTGAAACCCTGGTCTCATGAAAACCACCGGCAGCTCTGTGGTGAGCCCCAGGGCTGTGGGCTGTGCCGGTACAGCGCTGAGTGTCCCCAGGGGCAACTCACTGCACCGGGAGCTGCGGCAGGTTGGAGGAAGAAGCCCGGGGAAGGACTCACGCCAGGGTCTTGTGATAATCGATGAAGTTGGTCACACCAAGGAATTTCTGGACTGTCTCCATCACTTTGGCAGGTTCTGTTCGGAGCAGCTTGCCATCCAGGACTAGGATCTGCAAGGACCAAGGCAGGGCGGTGAGGTGCCACTGGCTCCCAGCCCTGCTCTCCCAGGGCACAATGATGCCTTTGCTGCAACTTTTGCCATCTTGGAGCCAAATTTGCCACCAGCCCATGCAGGCTCTCCTTTTGAATGCATCCAGCCCCCATTTCCCCTGCACGCAGCTCGAACCACAGGCAGCTTTGCCCTCTATTTTTGTTCTGCTTCAATGTCGCAGTGACACCGGACAGGGCAGCCCTGCAGAGGTCTGTGGCCGAGAGTGGCGGGCAAGTGGTGCGTGCCCCTGCAGAGCCACCCACAGCCCTCCACCCCACGGCCCCCTTTCAACCCTGCTTTGCCAGAGGACGAGCAGAAGGACCTACCTGCCCAGGACCGGCACAAGAACGTCTTTGTGCATCATCTATCATCAACCTCACACTACAAGGGTTTCCTTCTTGCACAATATCTGCCCTCTGCACCTTTCCCAAGTACCTTTACTCTTCTCCCCGTGGATATTAAGGTATAAGAAAAGCAGCTCCCACGGAAGCACCCTCGCAGCTGACTTGGGACCCATGCTTTCTTCCCTAAGCATCCTTGCTTGGGTGAGGGGGGCTTCCTGGGGTGCTGCCAACTGTAGGAGTGGGGTGCTCCCATGCCTACCTGGTTGGCGTGGTAGCTGTTCAGCCAGCGCTCAATGTGGGTGGCGTACCAGCCTGGCACCAGGCAGCGGTTCTGCAGGGTCCGGAGCTTCGGAGCAGCCTCGGGTCCTGCTGTGATCACCTCATGGAAGGTGTATTTCAGGGCGATCAGGTCATCATGAGCTCGCTGGTGCTGTTAGGCATGAGCAAGGTAGGTTTGTTCTTGGGGCAACCCAAATCCTGGGCTGCCCATGAGGCACTGCAGCTCCCAGGCCACCACACCATGTCCTCATTCGTCTTTTTCAGCCAAAAAGTGTGGCATCCGCAGCCAGCCCACCTCCCAAACCAAGCTGACAGAGGGAAGGCCCTTGTCCACCACCCATGGGGCTGCCCAAGCTGCGGGAGAGGCAAAGGCAGGCAGCTCACCTGATACCAGGAGTAGGCTCGATCTGCAGGGTTGATGAGAATGGTGATGACTTTGGCCTTGGAGAGTAGGGCTGAGGCTCTCCGGGGAGCCACTTCGGAGTCAAAGTAGTTGGCACTTTTCTCAAAGTAGAAGTCAGAGGTGGTGTTGGAGGGTATGGGGAAGAACTCCATGTACCTGGGGGAGGCACAGTGTGAGGCACGCAGACAGGCACCACGAGATGTCCCCAGCACCGCCCATTGCAGGTGACATCTCAAACACTCCGTACCATGTGTTAATCCTGCAAGGTTCCTCCAGGTCTGATGCACAGCCTGGGGCTCCACAATCCCCTTCAGCCATTTTGGAGGGCCAGACCTCACCAGATTCCCCAGGCAGACCCCAAAACCAGGGAGTAGCAGATGCACACACACACCCCTGGCTTCTGCCGAGGGCACTCTGAGTCCAAAGGCAAGTCACCTTTGCCTTCAGGACGACACCTCAAGGATAAACCATGGTGGTGTGATGGCCTGAAGGCAGTGCATGAGCATGCCCTTGCAAAAGGCAAAGCCATGCAGGATTCATACCACCTTGCAGCACCCAGGTACCCTCCACCAAGAGCCCAGCAGCTCTGAAGTCAATGGGAAACCCTGCGGCACCACTGCTCCTGTTCCCGAAGGAATTGGCACTCCCAGATCAGCCCCCATGCTGGGGAGACCTACCAGTCGATGCCCTTGTGATAGTTGTGTCCGTTGAAGAACTGTATCTCCTCAAAGGTCTCTGAGCTGGGGTAGTTGCTGCTCAGGTCTGGGTGCATCCCCAAGAAGAGATAAAGTGCAGTTGTTCCTTCAGATAGACAGAGAGCGAGAGCTGACTTGGGCCAAACCTCCCTCCAAACTCTGCTTCAGGGCAGGAGGGCGGAGAGAAGCTCTTTCGGGGTGTGTGGGGGACCTGGCAAGCCTCCCAGCATGATCACAGCACCGAGGGTGAAGGGAAGCACCTGTTTTTTGAGGCCCGATGATGAGAAGCTTTGGGAATCGGTCACAGGTCTTTTCTTTGGACCAAATGTCTTTGTGCCGTTTGTCTTCACAGGGATCCTGAAATGCAGGGGGGGAGGATTAGAGACAAGGCAGCCTGGACGGGACCATGCACCACTGCTCAGCCCCCTCCAGCCCGAGCAGACACAGGAGGAGGCCGTGCTGCTCAGCAGGCAGGGCAAAGACCAGACTTATCTCCAAGTCTAGGGGGCAAACTCCTTCTTGGCCTGCAGAACCACAGAGAGTTGAAAAACCACTGCTTACCCAGGGGTTCAGAGAGAAATTCAGGTTGGAAGGGACCTAAGGAGGTCAGTTAGTCCAACCTCCTGCTCAGACCAGGGCCACCTATACCCCAGTTCCCTCTCCCAGCACAATAAACAGGGCTGCTTCCCCCATTCCAGGCATGGGGGGTACCTGCCAGAGTGGGTCCTTCTCCTCGGAGAAGATCTGGAAGTATTTCTGTGCCAGCTGCATGGGTGGCAACGTCTGCAGCTTCAAATTGGTCCAGGAGTTGAGGAAGCGGACCAGGTGCTTGAAGGTGTACAAGCCCAGGCGGTCGTTGCCATAATTGGACAGATGGGTCATGAAGATGCTGATCTGAAGTGGAGAGGATAGAGCAGGGGTTAGCGGAACCTCACCCAGCAGCTGCCCCATCCAAATGGCTCCCCACCCTGGCTGAGGACATCGGGGACACCTCCCACAGCTCTGCAAGAGACGCCTGCCTGTCTGTCCCTGGGCAGCTGGATGGCAGTACTCACGGGGTTGAGGAGCACGGTCAGGAACAGTTCACCCCCGTTGATGATTTTGTCCAGCTCACTGGAGCCACCAGGGTATTCGTTGTAGAAGATGGTGTGCGTGAAGAGGCCGCAGGTTTGCCGGGGGAGTACCTGGGGCAGAAGAAGGATATGGATCGAGCAGGCAGAGGAGCCAGTGCAATGGAACGGCCACACAGCCTCCTCCAGGCATCCATGGCTGGGTCCCCTTCTCCTCCCCAACGCCTCAGAGGTCAGGATCAGCTCCACTGCCCCTCACCACCTTCAATGTGAATCCTGCCACCCACAAGGGATGGAGGTGGACAGATACAGAAGCCAAAAACTGTCCTCACATGAGCTTCTCCCATGCAGGAGGACCAGAGGGCACAGCCCCCTCAAATCAAAGCATCTGAGCTGCCCAGAAACCACCCACCAAAGTTCTGGTGGGGGAGGCAAGAGGAGAGAAGCACCAGAGATAAAGCCTTGCCACCTACCATGATGCCATTGTGGATGAAGCCACGGCGATAGCGAGCGGGTTTCAGATGGGGGTACTCCTCCGTGCTTGTCACTTTGATTGACCAAACCTGCTTCCAAGCTTCATACAACTGCACATGGACGGGGTACACACCTGAGTGGTGCGGGGCCACGGCGTACCCCATGTCAGTGGGGATGCCATGCTCCTGCAGAGGAGAGACCAGAGAGTGAGTAACCGTGGAGACCTCAAAACCACAACGTCCTAAACTCATCTCTCCCCAGGGGACTGCCCATTCCCAACTACAAATTGTCTGTTTGTGCCTCTGGAGAGCAACCAGGGTGGGGCTGTGCCTGTGCATTCTCTCCTAACCAGGGCTCGTCTCCATGAAAGTGAGCCCAGGAGCAGATGTGCTGGGTGGACACTTGCTCCTCTGCTTCACACGGACCATCCTCACCCCCGCCACTTCTGCTGTCACCAACAAAACAGCAGCAGCAAAGCTTTTCTGTGGAGAACGAGGAGATATATCTATACAGGACTGTAAATTGGTTTATAGCAAACATATATAGTATGTTATATGATATAAAACAGCCTGGAAATTTGGAGCTGGACAACTGCCCATCCCCAGTAGCGATGGTCTGGTCTCTCTCTAATTAAGCGCCTTTAATTATCAGACAGTGAATTCAAGTTAGCCTGATGATCCCTCTCTTAGGCTGTAGGACCCAAATATTATTACTGGGTCTGGCTTTACTCGTGTGGGTTTAAGACAGCTGTGAGCAAACCAGCTGATCACAGCGTGATCTGGTCTCAGTACTGGCTTTATCAGGGCCACATAAAGGACAGTCCAAGAGGATGGACAACCCCTTACCAAGCTGAAGCTCAGAGCCTGCCTTTATCAACCAAACAAGTCCCCGACAGCTCGGCCTGCAGAGGGAGTTTCCATCAGCCGGAGCCTCTTGGCACACGGCCACTGCTCCAGGATCCCGCATCATTGCCCAGCGCAGTGTCAAACCGTGCCGGGCTGAGCACCCAAACCGCACCCCCGGATCGGACCTCCACATCCACCATGGTGCTGGGCCAGGTGGGCATGGCTGCAATGCAGAGACGATGTCTCCCCTCGAGCAGGCACCGGGGCAGCTCGCTGCCACAGCAGCAAGTTGGCTGGTGAAGATAAATCCTTTTGCTCCATGTACTAGTGTATAAATGGATTTACCCATCCGGCTGCAATGAGGGGGACATGACAACATCACCAGGTCCCTTTGCTCCAGCAAGCAGAGACTCTCACCCAAGTCACCTGGGAAGCCTCTTTGCCCCCCTTCTCCCATCCTCCCCCCACCATGAGCACCCCCACCGGCGGCATCTTACTCACGACAGCGAATTTCTTGTTTAAGGTCATCTGCTCAGCAAGAACAGACTGGTTGTGGAAGAGGTGAGGCTGCATGTGGCTCCACATGTGGGGAAACCACCAGAATTCTCTCACGTAGGACAGCAGCAGGTCATCACCTTCATCCTCGGCATCGGTACCTGCGGGCACGATGCTCGCTGTCACCACCGGGCACGCAGAGCCACGCGTGATCAGCCGGTGCAGAAGGAGGGGGAGCCCCTCTCAGTGACCGGATGATGGGGGCAACAGGGTGGGATGCCCCAGGACCCTCCTGCAGCCCTGACGTCGGCCTCTTTGAGCACCAGTTCATGCCCCAACACCAGCCATATGGCATCAACACACAAAGAGATGCCCTTGCCCTCCTCACCCGTGTGGAAGAATTTCCCTGAGTATCCCAGGTTGAAGGTGAAGTTCGGGATGTGGGTGCGCAGCTCATTCTGCGTGTTGAACAGCGCCTGCGAGAGGAGAGAAAGCAAGAGGTCTCAGCACACAGCCATGGAGATGGCTGCCACACCAGGGTGAGGACCTGTGTCCCCGCGAGCTTCACAGAGGGGCTCCCAGGCAGCCAGGGGATGCTCTGGGGACAGGAAAACTCATCCCTGGAGCATCCCAGAGCAGGCAGAAGCGCCCAGTCCCATGCATCCCAGCCAGGACATGACAGCCGCACCTTGACATCTTCCACCTTCATGCGCGTGCCCTCCTTGCCCACAAAGATGTCATCGATGTCCACCAGGATGTAGCGGTCAAGGGGCAGGGAGAGCCTCTTGCCCGTCAGGAAGGAGACAGAGTCCACAAAGACCAGCTTGTGCAGCCAGAAGTTGAGGTTGTTGCCAAAAAGCACCCTCTGGATGCCATCGTGGAGGCCCAGGTCCTGCATCACGGTGGTGTGCAGTGCCGCATCCACGCTCATGTGTGGGATGGACTCAGCTGACTTGGTCTTGGCCAGGAGGACCGGCTCGTAGGTGGAGTGGTTGGACTGGAAGACAGTCCAGTCCTCCCCGGGGAGCACACCCTTCTCCACCTCGCTGGGGCGCGTGATGTACAGCAGGGGCGACTTGGGGTTGATGCTGCAGTCCTTCAGTGCCAGGTTGGAGTGGAGGAAGAGAGGGAAGCCCTTCAGCTGGGCACTCAGCAGGCTGTTCTCGTTGGCCTGCATGGGGGAGATAGGGGACAGAGGAGATGGGACGCTGGGGACAAGTGCCCAAACTGGCTGTGCAGGCAGGGGCTCAATGGGGGCACCGATGGCCACAGCAAAGCAGGGAGGCAGCTCACCACCCCCAGAGATCCGGGTGCTGGGTCTCCTGCCTTCCTCTCATGAGCATGGGGTGCCCTCATCCCCCTCGCACACTCAATCCTGCTCATGTCCAGCGTGCAAAGCCTCCCGGGGCTATGAGCCCTGGGCAGAAGGGCAGGGGGCTGCTTAGCAAAATACCTGCTTGTGCTTTTGACAAACCCCAGCAAGGGTCACTGCTGGGAAACAGGATGCTAAAAGCAACCAGAATCATCCCAGAGGTGCATTTTTACCCTCAAAACACCCAGGGGCTGCACAGCCTTTCCACAGGGAGAGGGCTAAGATGGTGCCCTCTGCTAGAAGCCTGTGCCCCATGCCAGGCTGCAGGACGGCTCCACACCAACTCAGGCTGCTTGCAGAAAGCAAGGGGAGGGCAGAGTCCCTGCAGGGGCAGTGGGACTCCAGCGGCCTCTGCTCACGCCCGGCCTGGCCACGGGGTCTTGGCTCGCCCCATGCACCCCATTACCTTGAAGAAACCGATGATGCCCACGCCATACTCCACGCAGTACTTGTCCAGCAGCTCCCGGTTCCAGGCATCCAAGTTGACGTACTTGAGGATGTTCTCGTAGATGATGAGCGCAAAACGTCCACGATCCTTGTCAGTCAGTGTGGGCATGTCCCCCTTCCCTGGGGCAATCTCCGTCCTGTATTTGAAGCGACTCGACTCCAAAATGGCCACGATCTCCTGGCCCAGCTGGGAGTAGAGGCTCTCCACGAAGACGAGTACCAAGGGGTCTGTGCGGGAGGAGTCGGCCACCTTGAGGCTCTTCAGCGGCAGCAAGCGGGAAGGGGCAACCTTGGGCT